TTATCTTGGGATCCTTGCCAGTTCTGGGCCAGTTTCTTTCGCAAAGCAAAGCTTATTCTAGTGCGCGCTGTGGCGGCAAGAAGTCTTGCTTGTAGTCACTGTCAGCAGCGCGCTCCTCGGGCAGCTGCGCCCAGACAAGCTCTGTGCTTTGCTCTGGCTCCTGAGCTAACGCAGACAGTGCCAGGTATAGATGGTGGATTTGGGCTCCCTGGCCTCTGGATCAGTCAGAGAGAGGGCTGCGTGTTGGTCAGGCCGGTGGTGATGGTGCAGCAGAGCCTGATGCTCATGCAGCGGGAGATGGCGGGATCCCAGAATAGCACCATTTGGGAAGGATCTCTGGAGGTCTCTCGTCCAACCTCCTGCCCAAAGCAGTCGTATCAGGCTGCTCAAGGCCTTGGCCAGCTGTTTTGAAAACCTCTAAGGATGGAGATTTCACACACTCTCCGTACAATAGAAGGTGAGATCTGGGAGGCTGAGCTTGTGCTCAGTGGGGTGGCCACTGGTTTGGGTATAAATAAATCATAGAATAATCAAATGGTTTGGGTTGAAGGGACCTTAAAGCGCATCCGGTCCCAACCCCTGCCCTGGGCAGGGACACCTTCCACTAGAGCAGGTTGCTCCAAGCCCCTGTGTCCAGCCTGCCCTTGAACACTGCCAGGGATGGGGCAGGCACAGCTTCTCTGGGCACCCTGTGCCAGCGCCTCAGCACCCTCACAGGGAAGAGCTTCTGCCTCAGAGCTCATCTCAGTTTCCCCTCGGGCAGGTTAAAGCCATTCCCCTTGTCCTGTGATGATATAGTTGCAATTTCAAGGCCAGTTCTGAATAATGATTTAGACCTGATCCCAAACTGAAAACCGTAGCAAGTTCCAGACTTCCCTCAGAGCTCAGTACTTTTGGGACCCAGGAGTGTGCATTTGGCCCATTTTAAAGAGAGCCACAGAGCTGCAGCCAAGGAGACTTTCCCAACCAGGGCTATAAATCCAGGCTCTTTGCAGGGACAAATGACCCAGGAACCTGAGGTTGCAACTTCATGGTTTTGCTTTAAGCTCTAAAGGCACAATTCCAGCCTTTTCCTGGCCCTTGCTTTGTGGCGAAACTACAGCTCCTGTGACTGCACGGGAACTGATCCAGCTGAAAAATACCCTGCCTGGGGAAAAGATCCTTTCTCTATGGATCACCATGATGGCTTCAGAAAGGGACACGTGGGCTGGGGGAAGGTGGAATTGCCCCTTTCAGTGGCAGCCTGTGCTTTGATTGTCTTGGAGAGATAATAAAACTGCAGCTTTGTGGTGATAAAACAGGCTGATCCTGAGAGCCCTGCACATGGATTTCCTTCAACAGGGGTGTACGGAGCAGAGCAAAAAGCATTCATAAAGTAAAGTTATAGGTCATGCTGATTTCTGAGAGCTGCAGAGGGAAGCACATGCTTCATGGCTCCAAATTGCTTCTGCTCATGTGGAATGGATTAAAGATAAAAACAACCCTGTTACTCACTTTGCTCCTGAGCTGTTTCAGCCCTGTCTATCTCATTCTCCAGAGACGCTTGTACAGGAACTGCTATTTGTGATCCAAAACTGTGGCTCATATCCCCAGGGTAGCTCATGGGATCCACTTTCCCTTGCCAGAGAATGAGGCACCGCTGGGTACCAGCAGCAGTGGTTTCACGCCAGCCTGGCTGTTTGCTTGCAGGATCCACCTATTTGTATCTCTGTTGTAAGTGTGGAGTACTGGGGCACAGAGAAGCAAAGTGATTCCACCGATGCTGTGCTTTTGGTGGGACAAACCCCACATCCACGTCTTGTACCTGTTTAGCTGGAATCATGGGCAGCACAAACATGCTCCTGATGCAATGGCAGCTTTATTACTTGGAAATGCTAGGAAGTTTCCACATCCTGTTCCTATCCCTTTGTCTGCACCTGAGTGAATGCCCGCTGTTCTCCCCACCTGGATGTCAGCAGATCCCATAGCTTGTTTTCCACCAGAATGTCTCCTCTTAGGTAAATATTACATCTGTGGTTGCTTTGCCATTGGTTTTCCTACCTGGATTTGCACAATGGGACAATGGCCTGCTCCGAGATAAGAGGAATACTGCTGCGAGTGCTGTTTGCTGCTGTGATATGCCACCCTGCTCTTCCCTCATCAGCTTCTCCGTTAGAGGCTTTTCAATGCTG